GTTGATGTTGATGGAGTTAACGATGCCCTATACGTACATACGTAATTTTTCTTCACATTTTCTTAAAATTCAGCAACAGTTTTTTCTATAAAAGTATCATTGGAGCCAATAATTGTTTGCTGTATTTATGATCATTTTTCAAACCAAATTACCACATTATAAAAATTTTTTCAACTTATCTAATATTTCATCTTCAATCTGCTTTCGTTATCAATACAAACATTGAACTGTATAAAATATAATTATTAATTTCAACACTGATACCAATTAAAAATATCCCTCTAACGATAAGTCAGCAATAAAAAGAAACTTGCAAAAATGAAACATTAACCATTTAGCAAAGCATATCGTTTGGAGGGAATCCATGGGGAATGCGTTCTCCGTGGGGCAACTTTTATTTCCCCTATACAGAAAAGCCGTGGCAATATTTTCAACAGGATGGTAGTTTCGTTGGCAAGGACCTACGGTAGGCTGCTAGGTAGGACGGGTTTTTACTTTATAATCCGCAAACAACGGTTTATGCATTTATGTTTATTATTTTTACAACTCTGTAGTAGAAGTAACGGGCTTCCTAACGAAACTGCTGAATATCGGCCCCTTTTGCTGGGAGATCTGGTTGCCGGCACGAGTGTCAACTATGGTCACTAAATGCTTGTACATATTTGTTTGTATAGTGTGTAGATTTAGACCAGTTTCTATTTTTTTATACAGTGAAGACAGAAATTAAACTAATGAAATCATTTCAAATTGCAATTAAATAAAAATCTAACATTTAATTAATTTTATAAATCAAGTAATTTAAATAAAATTCCTTTATCAAACTTTAACTTCTGGCGAATTTATATATCAACTAATAACTAAAAACAATTCTTGAAATTGTTCTTTATAAATTTTTTTTCAATGCAGAATCAGTAGCTACTCGCCTAAGAAATAACAAAAAAAAAACTACCTGGCCGAAACTTTTGACCCAGAGAACAGGAAACTTTCGTCGAAGTAGGGAAAGAGTGTCGTCCACCATTTCCAATTGTCGTTCGGTAATAAAATCATAAAACGTTCGGTATTGCCATCCTAGTAGACCACGGAGATGGCAGAGGCTCGTGCCGCACCCGTTTCCGGTTCACCTCTCCGAAGTCAACGGTTTAAAAACGCAACAAGAGAATTAGAAAAAAGGGGAAGAAGATAGAGAAAGAGAGGAGAGTACAGCGAAGGAGGAAAATGACTAAAGGATTTCCGGAGCGACCTAGACAAATTTGATTTTGCACGGCGAGTCGCGTTGATTTTCATGGAAACTTCGCTGCTAAGACAATATCCAATATTTTACAGGCAAACATCTCTTTCGAAACTTCGCGCTGATGGGAATTCCCCGCTTGTGTGAAACGGTGCCAATCTGTTCACGACACGTACTGATTCCATGGGGATTTACAAGCAGGTAAAGCGTAAGAAGCTCTTCGTAGACGATGAAAAGAGTTTAATGGAAGCTTCTTTTCATTCTGAAGAGGACTTAAACTATTTCTGCACCATGTGGATCACAGATGATCCATAGGATTTAATTAAAAGCACGATTTAGAGCAAGTTAATCGAAAAAGAAAATTTAGCTTTTACTTGTTAGTTAATTCGTTTGTGCACGTATATCCGAGTAATTAGGATTTTTTTTAGAATCCTAGTTACATCAATGTTATTATTTTAACAAAATCATCACCTTTCTCAAAGAATTATTATATAATTGATAATTAAAGGATTGGAAGGGACCCTATCTGCACATTTTTTTGAAGTGGTTTCGAAGGTCAAGCAACAGGAACAAGGAACGTTTTAAGATTGGTTATTTTTTTTTCAAGTTCCCAGCACAGATGTCCTTCACCACAGGAATCGAGTTACGAAAGAAACACGAAAAAAGGAAAAGGATCTCGTACGTTCTTTCTTGAATGGAGTCTGCTTGTCTCCAGATTTCTGTCTGGTGGTAGCGAACCTTGTTCTGTTCAAGTTATTTAAAAAGGGATTGTCACATAATTTATTTGGACCACACATTCGCTATACAGAGCTAAGGATCTCGACCAATAGAATTTGGGAATCGACAAGACGTTGTCCGAGATAAACTTTTCAGTCTACCGTGGAAACGGTAATTAGCTTCGAAAGTTATATTACAAACAGCCTGTCATCCCTTGACGCAGATATTCGAGTGCCTCGAGTGTTTCTTACCCTGAAGAGGAGCTGCGAAGGAGGAGAAGAAAAGGAGCGAAACCGTGTGGCTGTGGATTTCACAGTGTGGAGTCACGCCGTCTGCTCTTTTCCCAAAGAATTTTCAAGTTATCATAACAATGGTGCAATCATAATTGTGAAATGGAGGGTAAATTGAATATTCTGCCTTACAACCCTTAGTTACGTTATTGCCCCATCATTTTTTTTAAGGCCCCATAATTTCATGTAATTTCATAGAAATTAAAAACGGGAATTTCGTTCAGAATTGCATCAACTAAGCTGTTTAATATTTTTATGATCAACCATACGCGATGATAAATTAGATTAAATAAAGGTTTGAATGTGCAAGGTTATCCGATCGCTTTATTTGAACGTCCAAAAATAGAAGATTCATAATTTTATCGAAGGTATACGAAACGTGTATCTACCTCATGGCCGATCAGAATTTGCAACATTAAATGTCTGCCTTCGATTATACGTGTAAACGTTGCGATTACAGCCATGTGCTTATCATTATCGGAACCATTGCTTAACGTTATCTTGCTTCTGAGGGAAGCAAAGACACCAAGTTCATAACTGACAATGAGTTAGAAAAAGAATTTGCAACACTCTTTAATAACAATTAACTTTTCGTTGCATTAACTTTCGTAGAATAAAATTTTAAAAGAATACAAAAATTTCATAGTATTAATAAATTTGTAGTACACTGCAATGAGGGGTTGATACATATAAGTGCTGGGTGGAGAGGAGGGTCATATTACTACCCTTTCTTTTACTATCAATACTGGAGCACTGTATACATATATTTATATATCAGTAGATTTAACAATATATGTGTAGAAAAATGAGAGAAGAGTACCTAATGACGGCAATGTACAAAGATGTTTCAGAGATGACGAGAGCACAGCAAGGGGCTGTTGAGGCTAGCAGGGGGATGTGTCTGGCTGATGGAGCTTGAAACTGAATTAACCATCCCTGCCCGAGGCCCGTGATCTCGTCGCAACCTCATCTCAACGACCATTATATTTGTCTTTGTATGCTAAACATTTTGTGAAATTATACGATAGCCAAGTTCCCAAGTATTCTTTGTCCATTTTTTATCTTCTATATTCTTCCGGATTCGTTTAGAAACTTTTTCAATATGAGAATACAAACAAGAACAAAAATTTTAATTAATCATAAATTTCAGTAGACGTTTGACTTAATTTTAATTTCAACTCTTCTTTAAATGGATGCTTTCCTAGTGCCATTACCTATTTTGTTTTATTTCAATGATTCAATTTCTAATTAATCCAATATACTTTTTCAACAGCGATAGAGAAATTATCAACAGATTTTAATCGGTTTGATCAAGGAACAAATTTATTCTTTTATTATTTATAAAAGATGACTGTATCGTACGTGAAGGAGTTAAAGAAACACCCGACGCGACGTGTAAGCAGTGCTGTGAGCATCAAAAGGTTCGTTCTAATCTTGCGAATAGAGAGTTCGTACGTCGGTGTCACGCTGTCTGCACGGTCATAAATTGATAAGCTGGTTTACCACGTATTCTTATCGTACCGCCTACGATATGACGCGTTGATGGTTGTCGGCTTTCGTTTCTTATTCGACCGATATTAATATTAGTAAACTTACTGCGATCCATTGGGGTAACTTGAATTTTTAACCCTTCTAGCAAGGATCTTCTTGGGAAAAAAATTGAGAAATATCGAAAAGACCTAGGTAGTACCACGTTATCCGATAGTAAAGTGTTAATGAAAAGAATCCGTTATACCCTTAAAATGAAATAATAATAAAGACAATGCCGTATCTATCCGACGCTAGCCAAGTGTAGTATAACTTGTAAAACATTAAATTTAATTTCAGTAATTTCATATGTAAACCTGAATAATTCTATTTGAGAAGGATCTGCATAGTAAATATACTCGATATAATAAAAATAATCAATTCTGTGCATTCATAATTTCATTACTGCATATTTGTTCTGGAATAAATATCAGTTAAAGTACAACGATGTAAATTATAAAATAAATAGCCGTGTGTCGATACATGCAAAATTATAAAAGCACGACAATGTAATTTCTTTTTCAATAACGCATACAACGTTCGTCGTTGAAAAAATGTATCTCTTCCTCGATTTTTCCAGTACTTTAACCAATTATTGTTGAAACCAATGGTGGTATTTAATGTATGTAAAATTTTTAATTGGTGTTCTCTTCACGGTTCACCATCCGAGGGTTAAAGGTGTACCAATAATACATAATACTATGCATAAGGAACTATTGATAAAAATATAATACAAATTTGAAAGGTGTGCTAGAATTAAAAACTCACCACCCCGATACATTATTAAATTCAATTTAACTCTTTCTCTCTTCAATTCATTCTAAAAATAACCGATTTTATTACTCGCCAAATGACTTACAAAATGAAGGATAGAAGCATTCCTCGTAAGTATTTACATACACTCATGCATACACCTTTGTACCGTTAATCGCATTTCCGCTTAATTAAACTCTAGAATTTCGCGCACCATCTCCATCCGGGGACGCGAAAGCGGCAGCGTGAATCGGGTATCCGGTAAGCGTAATCCTCTCCCGAGCGTTGAGGAAGCCCGAGCCAAAGACGTCCGCGGGTGGTTGAGCGTCGCGACGCCTGGGGCGACGGTGGGGGGGTCACCCTGACCCAGAAGCTCCGCCCCTGTGGAAGTCGAGCCGCCAACCGGCGTGTCCAACGTTCAGGGCACGGTAGGAGGAGCCACCGTGTCCCCTTGGCGCCAGGTATAGCGGCCCTGGAACATCGACGACTGCCTGTTGGCATTTAGTATCGCGCCGACTCTTGAGGTAACGTCGTCTTCTTTTTCGTCTTCCATCATTTCTGTCGCCTCCTTCTTGTGCTGTGCCTCGTCCTTACGCCGGACCCACATGAACATTGTAAATAGTCGACGAACGACAGTCCGCTGGAGCGATACGTTATCCTAGTGACAACGAGGATCTATCGGTCCGAGGATCTTTTCTTGTGATTACCGTCAGTGTTTCCGGAAGGATGGAGACGAAGATGGAACCGTTGACACCCCCGCATACGCCGCCCACTCTGGACAGATCGATACAACAGCATCATCAGATGCAGATCACGTCGCCCAGGTGGATCAGGTCTCAGCAACTAACTGGGAGATTCATGCAGCAGCAACCGACCGGACAAAATGTCGGCTATCAAGCCGCATTCTTGGATAATTGGCTCAGAGGAGCTGCGTTGCTCGCTGTCAGGGGTTGTTGCCCTCAGACACCGTCCACGCATCCTTATCATCATCATAATCATCATCATCATCATCATCATCATCAGGGTCATCAGGGACTGCATCCCGCGCTTCCTGTACCGCCTCCTGCCTCCTTTCTTACCAGGAGACTGCCTGGACAGAGGCCCAAGAAACAGTTCATTTGCAAGTTTTGCAATAGGCAGTTCACTAAGAGCTACAATCTGCTGATTCACGAGAGGACGCATACGGATGAACGTCCTTATTCCTGCGACATTTGTGGAAAAGCGTTCAGGAGGCAGGATCATTTGAGAGATCATCGGTGAGTTGGAAAAATAGTGTTTTTAGATGATTCTTGAGGTGTTTTTAAGGAATATTTCTTTCTTGGATCGATTATAAATCGATCAATTAAAGGACACTTGATATGAGTTAGGATTTAACCCTTTCTCTATATTCACTTTATTTACAATAAGAAAATTTTCAATTTCTTCCAATATATGGAACTATTTCGTTTAAATGGTTAATAGTTATCCCGATTAAAAACAATTTTCTAACTTCGTAATTTCTCGAATAGATAATTCCCTGATTCTGAACGGAATAACATCTGGCAAGTATTACTTATCACCGATGAACTTATCTTAGAGGCTTTTCAAACGAAACTCAAGATCCAATCTTAATGACCCTCCAAATCACCATCAGCGATCTGATCTATACCTAAGAAATTTTTTCTCTTTTTTTTCAGGTATATCCACAGCAAGGAGAAACCTTTCAAATGCAGCGAATGTGGAAAAGGATTTTGTCAGAGCAGGACTCTGGCGGTGCACAAGATTCTCCATATGGAAGAATCGCCGCACAAATGTCCCGTCTGCTCCAGGAGTTTCAATCAAAGGAGCAACCTGAAGACACACCTCCTTACACACACAGACGTGCCGCAGGATTTAAGGATGGAAGCACCGGTCGCTCCGGAATCCAGAATCAACGCTTCCACTACTGTCAGACAGATGGCGGATAGGGTGAGTGGACTGATCCCGATTCAGAGGACCAGCACCACCACCCCTAAGTTAGGTTTCAGTATAGAGGACATTATGAGACGTTGAAGGAGCTTTTTATCCTTTTTAGTAGAGATGTTCTTGTCGTTTTGGGAGTCAGTGTGCTTCATTCGTATTTTATCTTTTCTGTGGATTATAAGGGTCGGACTGATCCTGACATTTTTTGATAATTGCTTTTGAACGAAGCACACTGATTTCGAATGTATTATACGTCACGTTGTAAATATGCTTTCATTTAAATTATTCGACACTTATCCATATAACATGTAAATAGTCGTGTAGATATTTAACTGTAAATAAAATAGTAGATAAACCGATTGATAGGCTGTTTCGCGTAGAATTTTGAGTGTCTCATTAATTTCAATTAATTTTTCTAAATGAAGTTTATTTTATCGTCGTTGAAAGTTAGGGTGGAAATTTCCTTTTGATTTATTCGTTCCTCTTTAACTCAGTTTCCTTCGATTTATATTTTAAAATTAATTTTTGCAATTTACAAAATTTAAACAATTCAACAATTTAGTACAATCATTTTCAATAATAATTTTTCAAGGTTTATTTAATTAAAAAATAAGTAATGTATAAGATGTAATAGAGAAGGAAGTAAAGTTACAAGAGGATTGAGTATCTCTCGCGATAAGCTTAAAACGAAACTCTGAAGAACACCATAAGGTGAATTAACAAGGGGTCAGTGTATCTCCGAAGGCGTCAAAATAATTGGTTACTATGCGTCCGAGACAACGATCTATACCTGGAAGTAGCAAGGTGTTTTCGTCTATCGAAACGTTAAATCGAGTTTCCTGTCCCCTTAGTTTTTCTCTCTCAAAAATTAGGAATTCTCGATCAGATAAGCCAAAGGGACACCTTCTGGTAGTTATCTACGCGCCATCTTTATCCTCACCAGTGACCTGTAAATAGTCCCAAAGATCGTTTCTTTTTTTCGCTCGTTTAATCTAGCCAGGGTCCTGTTGAATCTTCCTGGACCACCCATGTCTCGTACATACACGTAGTTTATACCTGACACTCGTGGAAGTTGTCGATGTGGCTCTTATTTAATAGCCGGAGAAATAGAGTCTCTGGTTATCGTTACTTAAACGCGTTACCATTCTAACGTTTGCATATTTTTTATATATAAATTCTTACAATTTTTAACTGTTTTACCATCTTTTCACATTTTTGCGTTGCTCAAGGGTGTACATGCATCATGGAGTTATCATGTATTAGTCAATTTAAGTTAGACCTGGGACGGATATAATGTAAACAATATAAAATATAAAATGTAACGATGCATAAGTAATTGAAAAGAAGAAAAGTGTAAAATTTTATATTTTATATCATTAAGTACTTATATGGTGTATCTGTCTTTTGAAGTTCTAATCATGTAGAATTAGATCTGGAAGGAGTGAGATAGAGGGTTGAATGTAAAATATGGTAGTATAAAAGTAATTATGCATAAGGTTTTTTTTAGTTTTGAGGAAAGAAGGAGTGTGAAAAGTTGGTTTAGCTGTTAAAGATGGAAAGAATTTACATAAGAAATAATAATGCGGATGTTACACCATTAACTTAAGGCTGTTGTAAATAGAAGGTTTTACGTTAAGGTTGCTCTGAAGATAAAATTGTTTAAAATTAAAAAATTTTTCAATTAAAATAACATTTTATGAAGTTTAATTGGAGCTTAAAAGCAAATAGATAAAATTATTTAATTATAGATATATTGCTTACACCCTTAAATGGCTTTAAGCAATTTTAAATTTTTGTTTCAGAAAATTGATTAGAACACAGAAAGTAAATATTTTAAACAAATTTTCTTATCTCATCTTCAAGGCAGCTCTTGCAATCAAACCGTGTAGATAGGTAGGTAATCACTTTTTACCATCGTTAACAGTTTTTCTTTTTAACTGCGTTTATTTTATTGTGTCTGCGTTTATTTTATGTTTTCGAAAAATGTTTGTCTTCAATCCTCTTTAGCATTTATGGAACATATGAGTGTTTCGATTAAGTAATTAACCTGTATTTGTAATCGAATTGAAGGTTGTGTAAGTGAAGGATGTTGAGCGTGGCAGCGCATAGTTATACCAAAAATCAGAAATAGGAGGATGCTATTGCCCTAGTCTATTATAATGTATATTTAAATATTGTTGTTATTGATTGGAAATAGAAATTAATTGAAACAGAATACTTATTTCCTATTTTTTAATTCTTCCTTTTTTTCTTCTCAATTATAATATCTAAAACAATTTTCACGGTCATAAATTTCGAAACTTTACGTAGAAAAACTGTTTAATCTTCTTGGAATCAATTTTACGAAGGTAAACGACTGAATCGAATCAACCCTCTACAACTTCTTTTCACCATCGTTTATTGTGCACCCTGCTAGAAATTCTCTATTCGTTCAACTATCACGTTTTCCCAACAATAGCTAGCAGTTAACCTGCTTGCCGAGCAGTTAGCCCTGTTTAACTTTAATTAATTCTCGCACCCCTCGGCGACAGTAAAGCATAATGAAGAACCGGGTAAACAGACCGATCTGATCTATATACTTGTACCTTTTCATCAATACTTTGTTACTTGATTTCATCAGTGACTACAAATGCAAAAGACTGGACAGGCCTTTGTTTCTCGAGGGGTCATGAAATGCCTAGCATTTTACAGGTAAATTTTTAAACGTTGAAATTGTTTTTTTTTTATATTATAGTTCCTAATATTTTGCAAGAATGATTCTTTCTTTTCAGCAATTTCGCAACCGCGATGATTTATTGAATCACGATCATCGAGAGTGCGAAGAATAATTGCAGCCTTCACGATAAGGGTTCGTACAAGAAAGGTTGCTCCAGGGATGCAGGTAGCCGAAGGAAAGAAGAGGAACAGGAGGCAAAAAGAAACGGAAATATTATTTGGACGGAGGTGGATACGAAATGGGAGGAAGAGCCGTTTTGTACCCTTTACCGATGCCCGTAGGGACGATTTAATTACAATAATCACAGCGTTACGGTTCCTGGTATCGTGGTAAGTTCTCCATGAATTGTCCCACGGAGAAGACTAATCGTTTCCCTAAATCGAGGACAGTCTTCTGGCCCAGGACCGCCTCTGAAACAACGGAAGGGTTAAGATTATGGAATTTGGCGTATGAAATGAATGTAGTAGATTTGCAATTCTTATGCAATTCTCATTTTTAAAGACAAATTCTGTCTTCAAAGATAAATGTGTTAATATCAAAACACTTTGTACTGATACATCTGTTAACACATGCAGTGAATAAATTTTTTCGAACATATGCGAGTTTCGCAGGACTTTTGTAATATGACTTTGAAAATCTTTTTACAGATAGTACAGACAACGTTAAATTGATCAGTGTAGATTGACACTAATCTTGTTATGCATGCAGACTCTATTGTGTTTAGATCAACTGATCGCAGAGATGATAAACGCTATTGCAGATCAATGGGCGTTTCCCAAATACAGTCGCAATCTGTCGTGTCATACGTTGCATATATGTTAGTACATATGTAGTTCATATTGTAACACAACTTCATTATGAATCAATTATTCACTGTCATCGAAGAATTTTTTAACTTGCTTTTGCAAATAATACCAACAAGTATTTTATAAAAATATATGAAAAAGAAGCTGTAAATTTGTATTAAAAATATTGATAGCTATGATTATTAGCTTTTGAATAATAATCTTTAGCAAGTAGCCTGAATGTGATTGTCTTTATAGTATGACTGTAAAATAAAATAAAAAATAGTGCACTTCAATTTGGTAACACCAAAAGGGTCATTACATGTTTCTTCTGAACGTCAATTTCGGGGTAGCGATTTTACAGCGAACTCGCAATTGTGGGAGTTGGTACGATGGAATGTCGTGAATGGCCCCCAGGGTTCACCCTTCGTGCCCTAAAACGTTAACCACAGATTTCTTGGCGGATTAGATCGCTCGGTCGGGCGAAGCCTCGAGCTACGATTTGTGGCCAACGGGGAGACGAAGAGGAGTAGCTGCCATGGTACCCTCACAGTTTCTTGCGTGTACCCTCTTATTAGGGCGTGAGTCTTATCTAAGGGTCATAGGGTCTTTGCGACCTCCAAAGTCCCACAGGTACACTAGGGTTCCGGTAGAATTCCAGAAGTCATCGATGACTTCTACGCACAACGCACGTAACTTCCAAATTTTATTCCATATATCAAAACATATCTAAATAAAAAATTTTAGAAATAAATTTTCAAAATATATTATTACAAACAAATATAAAAAAGAATCAAAGTATTAATTCACCTGCTCCCTTTAATTGAACCGCAGACTCATCAATCTAGTGGGACCACCGGAATCATCAGGAAATTAAAGGACAGACCGAAGCAACCTCGATCAAAGGAATCATTCGACCTACTGATGTGACCAGCGTGCGATCGTTTGCCTTTGATTCGCACGAACGATTAAACGCGTAATAATAAATTTCAGGAAAAGGAAGGTGGCCGAGGCGCATTCAGGAAGGCGAGGAACTGCTCCCCGCGAGCTCATGGCCTGTGGTTAGGGCGGTACGCAGCCTCTCTTTTTTGCTGGCCGACGATTAGGTAAACTGGCCCGACCACGGTGCACAGTGTGCCCACATTGTAGAAACACACTCTAGGTCTGCTATTAGTTAGTAGTATAGTTTAAACTCGAGACGCCAGCCGAATGGGACGAACACGTGAAAAAAAGAACGAGAAGTAGGGTCCTCCCTTTTAAACGCCGCTAATTCGCGGCGGAGCCAGGCGCCGGCTCACTTCACTGCACATTTTGTTCGTTTTCTTTTTATTAGAAAAGCGAAATAGGAAATGAAATTGTTTAAAACAAAAGGAAGAACTTTACCGTCTTTCCTGTCAGCGTTTTAATTTTCACTAGTTTGATTTTGTACCCTTATGGGATATTGACAGGTATTTGTAAGTATTATAGGTATTTGGTTTTCCTCCTAGGGAAAATTTGACTAGTTTATTTTTCTGATTTGCTACGGTCGGTAGCGTGGGGCTCTCGTTATCGACGGCGCGTCTGCCGTCATGTAGTTTCTCAACGTCGCCTATGTCACCGTCGAATGCAAACGTTCGTCCATGGCATGGGCTCGAATGTTTCTTCATTGGCGCTTTCGTGTTTCTGGGAAGCTTGATCCGCCTGCTGCTGCCATCTAAGGGCGGGTGCGTTAACAAAAATTCACCTTGCAATTTGCGAACCTTCTATTGATTCTTTGAAATTGTCTTAAATAAAAATGGTACGACATTTTCAATTTTGCTTTCGAAGTATAAAATTACAATATTTATTGAACTTAAATTGTGTATTTATAATAATATTTATTGTTAATTGGCAGAGATTTTAACGCTTGATTGTAACGCCGTTATAATTGTCATTCATTACCATTATATTCGAAGTAATTATTAGTCAAAAAAAGTGTATTTCATTATTTTACTATAAAATTATAAAATTTAATAAAATATTCTCAATTTTATAATTTAATTAAATTATTTATCAACTTATAATAAATCCTATCTTCTTTACGATTTATGTAACAATCCATCTTCCTTCTGGAACTCAGCAGTGGTACATTCAAAACGAAACCCATGGAGGACTATAAACGCGCGTAAATTCCGCGCGGTCGATGCACGGCAACCGTGGATTATCGGCTCATAATTCATTGAATCCCGAGACAGTGATTGTCAGTTTGCAACGGCGTTACATCCGCTCGAACTCGCTTCGAATCCGCGTAATGGATCATTAGAGGTCGAGCGATAATCAATTTTCAAAGTACTTGCGGCGGCACGGCGCGAGCCAGAAAGAAACTGTTCTTCAGTCCATCCGCCGACGCGTAATTTCAATCCCGTCTGATCGCTGTTCGTAATCCTTGTGAACTTCGTAACACGTCATTTCTTAAGGGATGCAGATGAATCATATTGAATTCTTAAGGGAATTGTTATAAAAAATAATAAAATTCTAATTTGCTAAATTTTCGATTTGCTATCTTAAGTCATTGAAAGTAATATATTTTTTCTAATTATTCAAATATACCTAATTCACACTTTTGCTAATGAATGATCCCTAACCATTCAACGTGTCGAAACGTTCTCCAAAGAAATAAAGAAGTCATCCAGGAACTCTGAAAAAACCATCAATAGTTAATCGTTTAGCACCCAATAATCATACCTAAAACGTCATTGAACGTTGTGGATTCCCCAAACGACCGAAAGGGAGCTGATGGTGAGGTTCGAAGGGCAAGGAGCTCGGACAGACGAAGAAATTCCGGTAATGAAAGGGCTGAAAACCGCGGGTTCGCGGTTCGGTACCGGTAAGAAAGAAAAGGGGAAGCCAACGGAGTAACGTAGTTGATGGAGGTGGGTGGAGGAGGCGGTGGCTGTTACGGAGAGGTGGAAGCGGTCGCTGGAGGATGGACCTCAGCATTGGTATACATTGGGTAGGGGAAGCGGAGGAGGAAACAGCGAGGTATGCACAGGTGAGAGAAGCAGTAACGACGACTTGAAGGTGGAGATAGAGATGGGTGGTAGTCGAAAAAGAGGAGGCAAGAATCGCGAGAATGTTATCGAGGTTCTTTCCTAGGTCTTTTCAAGAATTTCCCCTCCTGGCAATGGTTTTATCATTCATAGAAATTTAGAAAATGAGGAAACCAAAGTCAGTGCTGTTTTATCATTAACCCTATCTTACTCCTTGTATGTTTTTTGTACGTTTTTACATAAGTCACAATGCCATATTTTCCTTTATTCATTTCTCAACAAGATGGTCAAATATTTTCGTCATCAACTACAATAGAAGCAGAGGAAAGTTGAAGCAACAATAGCAAAAGGCTACATCATGGGCTGGAGTGGATTAGAGTGGAGTTGGCACATCCCCTAACTGTACTAAAATTGTCAAATTTCTAATATGCAAAATTTCATATAACGGAAACAAAATAAAATTCTACAGGGTGGAGGGCAGCCTGCAATCTGGTAGGGCCAGATCCCCCTTCCTCCTACCTGGGGACAAAAAACGTCACAACAATCATAATTTAATATTAAGGAAGAGCAAAATCGAAGTAAGCAGTGGTTGAAACAATAGCGACACAGGATGAAAGGAGAAGGAAAGAAAGTATAATAGAAGAAAGAAGAAGAGGTAAGCTGCGAGTGGAGGCACAGGTAAGGGGGTTAGTTAGGCGCGTGGGGCCA